AAGTCTGTCGTCAAGTAATCTAAGTAAAAGTAAATAAAATGCAATTCAAACTCACCTACTCTATCGTTACGACTCATAAGAAAGGTATTTCACTGTGAATTTTAATATTGTTATAAAAACCGGTAGCCTAAACATATAAAACTAATAGAATCTGAAGCGAGATGATGTATCAAACATTTCTGCTTTATACGTTTTTAAGACAAATTATTCAACACAAATACGCCTGAACATTAAAAAGTGTACCTTTCTTTCTCTTTTCGATGAACTTTTTGATTGTTTTAAGGATTTTTTTTGAAAATAATGTCGCCGGGGGCAGAGATGCAAATTAATGCTTTTAAGAGATCAATCTTTTATCTTTCTGTGGAATTGGTTTTGGTGGAATTTATGCTTATGTACGAAAAAGATCCAAATGTCTGTGCGCCTAGCACAATCGTGAAAAGCGGTAGGGCCAATTTCCCCTGAATTTTTTTCACAGAAGGGTCAATTTCAAAAAGTGCTGAAAGAATAAAATTTACGATAAAAAAATGAAATAAAAATGTTTTTTGGTCAATATCTCGATTTTTATGTATTATGTTATGTCTGGAAAATAGTTAATTTAACCTCAAAAAAAGGATGAGAGTCAAATAAGCGTAATTAAAAACTAATTTACCGTGTTTTTAGGTTGGAAAACCAGGGAATCCCCCAAGAAAGACACTTCAAACCAAAACAAAGTTATGTTTTTTGTTGTTGTTGTAATTTATACAACTTTTCCCTCAAAAATGAAATTGGTTTAGTGTGTCCTTAATACCTAAAAAACAACTTTTTTTTAATAAAAAGTGGAATATCACTAAATTTTATTTATATAGATGCTTAATATCGACTTTGTTTTCAAGAGTCGCCGTGGCCCCATCGGTAGAGTTTAAAACTGTAAATAATGGATTGTTTTTAAGATGGGGTTCAAATCTCACGCTAATTTTTCTGTTTTTTTATGTTGAAATATTAAAATGTTATGTTTCTATCACATTTTTTCGGATGTTAGTTTAATTCAAAGAGTCACACTGAAGTAGGTGCTTGTACATAACCAATAACACGAGAATTGATTATATAGCAATAAAGCCCAAATGTTGTGTGTGTTATACACATAACGAAAAAAGGCCATAGCAGAAAAATTTCAAAACAACAAAAATATTTTTTCTAAATCTTGAACAAGAACGTTTTAGAAAATGGTATGAGATGTAACAAATGCAGACAGTAATTTTATCTCCAATCCACCAACTGTGTAGATACTAGTACTGGCATTGTTACATTGTACCACCGTCCCTACACCGGAACCTAAGTCATCAAAAAATGAAACAACACCACAGAAAAAAATCAATTACACTACCAATCGTGACTGTAGGTAAAACATCAAGAAAGTGTTGAATCTGTATCGCAACCTAGGGTCGACCCATTTGGTACAATGCCATGCAGAAAAGACACGATTACATGTGTTTGTAACGCAAGCCGTTCTAGTACCAACTGGTGTAAGCTGTTGTCCGGTTCATATAGACGGTAAACCTTAAAAGCTGGAATAGTGTAAAGATAAAGATACATCCAGATTGAGGAAAACAACATCCCAGTTAAATGCGTCCGATATTTTTTGGTTTCTTGGCATTAAAACAGAGACCGATCTTGAATTAGATTAGCTGATTTATATCAGATAATTAGATTATTAAATGTTTCTTGTATTTATATTTAACCTCATTTTTTAGGCGCCACTTAGGGGCATTCAGTTTTTCGGTCTGTGCGTCCGTTCGTTCGTTTGTCCGTCCGTCCCTTCGTTCGTCCGTCTGTTCGTTCGTCCGTCTGTCCCGTTTCAGCTTAAAGTTTTTGATCAAGGAAGTTTTTGATGAAGTGGAAGTCCAACCAACTTGAAACTTAGTACACATGATCCCTTGGATATGATCTTTCTCATTTTAAAGCTAAATTACAGTTTTTATCCCAATTTCATAGTTCACTGAACATAGAAAATGATAGTACGAGTGGGGCATCCGTGTACTATGGACACATTCATGTTTAATATTTTGTTAATTTTTTGTTAAACAAAGCTGTTAAATACGTGTACGCTACAAATCACCTACCAACATTAACACGCTAACTGAAGCACCATGTTTTTTTTTTTAATACAAAACTAATTTTGAATATCTATAGTGATAATTCATATTTTAATGCTCCTCAGGGGTATTTACAAACACAATCAATATTGGTTTTGATAACAACAAAAATCAATAGTCTTGGCCTTGATTATTGTAGGAAGACCTGTTCAAGGTATGAAAATAGATGATGTGACGTGTTTCCATATACTATAAATAGTATCTATCGGGCTATTTAAAAACATGATTTAACTAGCTAATCAAATGAAAAAAACTCACGGGAAAATGGCCCTACCTCTTTGTCTCTAATTAAACATGATACAAATTTCTCGAAGCTCCATACAATACTTTAAGTAAAACACGTATATAAGATGCATACAATCCTTATTTATACACCTACATTAAACTTTTAAATCCCATAGAAACAAATGAAAACAGTTCAAATATACCAACTTGTATATAGATATGAGAAGATGTGGTATTAGTGCCAATGAGACAACTCTCCATCCAAGTCAAAATTTATAAAAGTAAACCATTATAGGTCAAAGTACGGTCTACAACACGGAGCCTTGGCTCACACCGAACAGCAAGCTGTAAAGGGCCTCAAAAATTACTAGTGTGAAACCATTCAAACGGGAAAACCAACGGTCTTATCTATATAAAAAACGAGAAACGAGAAACACTTATGAACCACATCAACAAACAACAACTTTAACTCCTATAATACAGAGTTCCATTATTTTCTTCAGTTGCAACTGAATATCAGCCTGTATATATCAAACAGAAATCTAGTATTTGTTCATGCCATCGAGGAACTTTATTAATGATATGTCAAAACATACATACACATCTTTGAAATGAATTAACTAAATTGACTTTTGCAAATTAAATCAATATAGCCATTGAAGATTCATTAAATGATCAAATTACAATGATTAAATCAAAAGTATACTGTTTTACTGTATACCTCATTAATGAAAATGCTATTTTACAAAAAAGTATGATATGTATTTTTTTGGCCTATTATCGGATATTTGTTTTCAATATCAATGCTGAACCCGTAGTCTTATTGAACGTCGCTTTTTCTCGTTACAAGTTCCCTGCTATTTTTAGCTCACCTGGCCCGAAGGGCCAAGTGAGCTTTTCTCATCACTTGGCGTCCGTCGTCCGTCGTCCATCGTCGTCGTCGTCGTCGTTAGCTTTTTACAAAAATCTTCTCCTCTGAAACCACTAGACCAAATAATACAACATGCAGGCATTTACCTATCGTCGGCAGAGATATGACAACGAGATATTAATACTGAAGATTCCCTAAAACATTCAGTTTGCAAACAAAATATCCTTGTTTGAATTACGATTTTGAATTAACACCCACCAAACTATCTCCAGGTGATTGTTTTTTGAATATAAGTATGTACGGATGAAATGTCTAATACAAAGAGAAAAAAAATAATGCACGTTGTACTATTGTATTGATCCATTGAAAATTTTGCAATTTAGATAGTTTTCCTTTTTTTCACCTGTTGCATTTATACATCGCCAGATAAAAATACAAGTTAAAGATTTCCGGTAAAGTAAATTAAACATATCTGCAATGGTATATCTTTATTAAATTGGACAACATATAGCATTCAAATTATTATTCTTCTCATCTAATTATTTGTGTTAATTGCATACGTAATTCAAAATTGCTCCTTTTTAGCTCACCTGGCCCAAAGGGTTATTATCTTGAATATTATTATAGATAGAGATAAACTGTAAACAGCAATAATGTTCAGCAAAGTAAGATCTACAAATAAGTCAAACTTGATCAAAATGGTCAGTTGACCCCTTAAGGAGTTATTGCCCTTTATAGTCAATTTTTAACCATTTTTCGTAAATTTTTGTAATTTTTTACAAAAATCTTCTTCTCTGAAACTACTAAGACAAATTTGACCAATCTTGTTTACAATCATTATTAGGGTATCTAGTTTAAAAAAAGTGTTCGATGACCCCGCCTGCGAACCAAGATGGCCGACATGGCTAAAAAATAGTACATAGGGTAAAATGCAGTTTTTGGCTCATATCTCTGAAACCAAAGCATTTAGAGCAAATCTGACCAGGATAAAATTGTTTATTAGGTCAAGATCTATCTGCCCTGAAATTTTCAGACTAATCAGGCAACACGTTGTTGGGTTGCTGCCCCTGAATTGGTAATTTTAGGAAAATTTTGCAGCTTTTGGTTATTATCTTGAATATTGTTATAGATAGAGATAAACAGTAAAGAGCAATAATGTACAGCATAGTAAGATCTACAAATTAGTCAACATGACCAAAATTGTTAATTGACCCCTTCAGGAGTTATTGCCCTTTATAGTCAATTTTTTACAATTTCCATAAATTTTGTAAATTTTTGTAAATTTTTACAAAATATTTTCCACTGTAACTACTGGGCCAAGTTCATTATAGATAGAGATAATTGTAAGCAGCAAGAATGTTCAGTAAAGTAAGATCTACAAACACATCACCATCACCAAAACACAATTTTGTCATGAATCCATCTGTGTCCTTTGTTTAATATGCACATATACCAAGGTGAGCGACACAGGCTCTTTAGAGCCTCTAGTTTAGTTTTATACACTGCCGGAATGTTGAATTTTACTTTCGATGAATTTATTCAATTTTTTTATTGTCATCTGATATTTAATCTTGGTGTTTTAAACTCGCTATAGTCTTCTGGTTATTTATTCAAAATGACTACATCCACACCTGTATTAGTATCCATTTGATGTTAAATTGATCTCAAGTAAAGTTCAAACGATTTGTTTGATAAATGCTCATCTATTCGAGAAATAGCCTTTCCGCAAACCTTTGATTTTTGCCATTATTAGAGGGAATATAAATCTAAAACTCTGTAAATGTCGTTTTTATGTTATAATGAACATAGTTTGATGATAAGTAAAAAATCTAGAATTTTCCCTTTTAACCTACAAAAAGCATTTTTTCCTAAATTAAACATCAGGGAGGATTAAAAGCAAAACAAGTCACAACCTTAACTATATATGACCAACTTAGAGTTCACTCCTTATTTAAAAAAAAACATTGTTATTAAATACATGTTTGATATGAAAAAAACATGTTAAGTATGCTAGTCCTGCAAAGGTCTGAACTTCAAACTATTAACAATAACATAGATATGTAACTTTATATAAATGTACGTCATTTATCTATAATCATAAACAATGGTTTGATTTATAAAGTTCTTTTCCTGCATTTCCGCTAAAGTGGAGTTTTTTAATTGCTCTCCTTCGTGACAAAATATCTTCACAGTTCCATGTTTTTCCAAAGAGTTGTTCATTGTATCCAACCTATCATCACATGAGGCTTTATCATGTATATACCCTTTTTTCTGAAATAATGACAATGCAAATATTAGTACTGGCGTCAATGATAAAAGAGATACTTTACAGTGTTTTCAATAAACTTGAATAATATTTTTTTGACACTTTTCCTTGCATTCGTAGATTAATTTTAGTTAGTTTGTGTAAAATAATCACCAGAGCCCAAGAAAAGCTTGAACAAATCATTTATCAAATAGAAAGGATTTTTTTCATTTCCCTGGATTTGGTCTTTTAGTATTTCACCGTAAAATAAATGTTTAAGCCTTCGTATTGCAACATACAAGCCATAAAGATCAAGATAAGAAAAAACAAAACAAAAAACACTTTGTAGTTTCGGTAGTACATATTATGGCAAGCTAGATTGGATAAATGATATGCAAGGACTAGCTGAATTGTAGCTTTATTTTTTTGTTGTTTTTGTTTGAAAGTCCTAGATAACGTCAAAATTTGAATAACTAGACGTTTGTGTATCCAATTACGAAAAAAAAAACGTTAAAAATATTTTATTTTATAAAAAAGGATAATTTTTTTTTTAAATTTCTGCACATTTATGAATGACCACTAAGCATGTCATTTTGAAGCTAGTTTTGGCAGCGAGTCCAGTTTAAAAGAGCGAAACTTCTTATTGTTTTCATTACAGCTGTTTCCAATTTTACTGATTTTGTTAGATATTAATGAATGATTTTTTTAACAATTTCATACTATAACTTCAATACAAAGTAGTCCCTTATCCCTCCTCGATCTCTTACACCAATCGACGGTGACATTTTTTTCAGCACACATCATATAACGCTAATAACATATGTGTCAGAGTCATATTGTGCAGAGTGAAAACAGAATTCATGTTTATTGATTTTGAAACTGCACGTCTTAAAAAAATTGCGAGAGAAAATGAAATATGCCTTGCAATGCGAATTCTAAATAAAATATATCAAAGTCAAATAAGAAACAAGTTACAGTAAGTGAGTGTGAAAAACTTATTTAATTAATAAAGTTATTTTCTTTTATAACTGAATTTATTAACACATTTGGTAAATTCTTGTCAAATATTACAACCAGTTAGTAAAATGCACAAGATTTGTAACACCAACTTTTATGTCAAATGGGGATCTTGTAATTTGTTATATAAATATCCAATCAATCATTAAGGTTAAAATATACAATACTTTGTTCATAGATATATTGTACAGCTTACCCAGCAACTTGACGAGTATAAGCGTCATTTTTTTTGAATTATTGAAAAATTTGACTTTCCTAATGTATAGAGTACCTTGATAAATTTAGCAAAGGGCTACTGTGCAAGCCATTTTTAAATAATGATTTTGAATTAAAGAATTAAGTCAATTATTAAACTCTTATAAAAGTATTATTGTTTACAGAATGTCTATTGCTCAGTGACAATAGGTTTTTTGAAATATTTTTGGTCTACTTATCCTTTTTCTGTAGGATATTTTCCAGGACTCTGTAGATCTGTACTGATCAACTAAGAAACTTAGAAGGGGCTTAAGAGCTTTTATGTTATGAAGAAAATATTATGATTCTGGGTTCAACTTTTCAAAATGTAAAATTTAAATGAAAAGTATTTCAGAAAGACTTTTTAAAATTACACAAAATAAGTTTTATTGCTTTCAAATAGTATTTTAAAAATCTACCAAGATTCTGTATTTCAATATACAAATTACAATTCTTATTTCTAGCTTTTTTTCTCTCTGAAAGGATGGAGGTATCTCTTGATAATAAGATAATTACATACACACTGTAGTTGCAAATCGAATTTTATTTTTTTTTTCTTCTTGTTTTTGTATTATGTTTACTCATTTCTATTAATTTTGTTGGTTTTTTAAACTGATAATATCAGGGAGACAACTTTTTGTGGAAATCAGAAATGAAAAAAGCAAAACACCTCTTCGTGTTGAAAATCACTTGACGTTTGCGTTACCAAACTTTATTGCCTAGATATTCATACCGAGTGTTTGTATTAATGAAATTCTTTATAAATTTTAAATTCAGTCCATCTTTTTTGATTTTTTGAAAATATTTCAACTTTTCGATCAAGAGCAAATATAAACGCGAGATTATTTTGAGTTTTAATCAAAACATTGTCTTTTAATGAGAAAACTTTATGTTTGTCTCCTCCGTAGATTTACTGAATTTTCGCGGCCACGTGACTACTGTTTATGATAGACTTTTATCGTTTAAGGATAAATGACGCCGTTGGCGTTTCTCGTTTAAATTGTACCACAATTTACCATTCAAGGCATATTATCACTTTTCTTTGATTATCTCATTGTTAAAGGCCATACATCAATGTCAGATGGTCTAATGGATATAGTTGTAAAATCATACAACTCTTCCTATTTGTATATAGATTATTAGTTTCAAAGTAACAAAGCCAAAAAGGCTATTTAGTATTTAAAAAAAAATCCGACTCACGTAACACAGTTTGTAGCAAGCATAGATTAGGTGATGAGTTGCATTCGCTGATGCTAAAATCGAGGAAACAGAACAAGACAATTGCTTCATGTACGACAGTTGGAACAAGTCCGTGGTCATATGTGGCACATATCCCCCATAAAGAATAGGGTTAGTTTTTTTATATTCTAATTCAGAAATGAATTAAGTCTCGTTTTTTCATGTTTTTTTTTAAATGCTGTTTTTATTTCCATCTTATTTTAATTTGTAATTTTGGGATTTGTCCGACATCTTTTATCGATTTCTTACCTTCAGTTGAGATACGATATCAAGTCCAAATCTTTCAATTGGTTTTGTTTCTAATGTGCCTGGTTGTCTCAAATCTATATAATGAACGCACTGACAACTGTTGTTACGTGACTTTGGGTACAATAATTCAAAACCTTCATCGTCATAAATTATTACTTCAATGTTGTCGGGTAATGGAGTCGGAGTTCTCGGAGAAGGTGGATCAGGCTGAGGAACGACTTGAGTTTGCTTATTGCGTGGACGTTTTCTTTGTTTAGGCTGTTGTATAATGTAATGTGTTCTTATCTGACAACGGACGTTGCGCGTTGACGGACGTTGAATTACATATTTCTGTGGGTAGTCTACTAGTATATAATCTTGTCTTTGAAAATCCTTTTTATCAGCTGGTTCTTCTTTCGTTACATACCCAATAGGTTGCTTATTACGCAAAGGTTTTATCTGTTTAGGCTGCGGTTGTATCACGTAAGGTGTTCTCGTCTGACAACTGACGTCGCGCGTTGGCGGATGTTGAATTACATATTCCGGTTTCTTTTTATTCTCCTTTGATCTCACTTCATCATAGTCATTTGTGTTGCTGTGCTGTCTATACCTGCTCATCACAGTCACTTGAACATAAAAAAATTACCTTGGAAAAACACCCACTGCACAATATAAAAATCGAAGTATTTATCTTTCTATACACATTTGTAATTATAATTGCTACATAAATGTCCATCAGCCTGTCAAAGGCGTATTCCCTAGTTACCAGCTTTGTATGGCCAATAATAAGGTTGAAATATACTGTCAATTTCTCTACATCACACCCTTATAATGATGTGAATGAATACCTCATTTAACAAAGCTTTTTTAAAAATAAAAACAGTCAGAAATTATTATTTAGATATATTCATATGAAAAAACAACGTCCCATATAAAAACGAATATGAATAGCGCTTTAAGTCTACACGTTTATCGTTGAATCAATGTAACCCCTGGTTAGTTTTTAACAAATTAATATTGGATATTTATCATGTTTATACTATATTGTTTAATTGTGTGCAGTGATCTTTCGAGTCCTATTTTAAAACAATTATCATTTTACAAATCTGTATAATAAGGATAATTTTTAAACACCACAATGTATATATGTAGTTAAAGGCATATTCATATTAGTGTACACAATATTTTATGATGAATTATACGATAGCAATATATATTCACATTCACAAAAAAAACAACCCTTTTTTAAATAATCATTATTGCAAAAGTAATTCAGTTTTATTGAAAATACTAGCAAATGGTAAGTATTAGTAGATTTTTGTTTTTATCCAAAACGAATTGATTTTGTTACCTGATTAATTATATTGCAATCTTAATTGACTAGGATTGTCAGTTTTCCTACCGAAGGTCGGTCGTTCTCTTCGGCTTCCTCCACCAATTCAAACTGACTGCTACGAAAAAGCGCTGTATACAAAAAAGTGCTAAAAGTGGCGCTTAACACCAATTAATCAATACAACAATTTCTTATAATCATAATTTATTACAGATTAACAGGGATAAAAAAATATCTATCTAATTATTTTGTTGACAAACCGAATTATTCTCTCACTGGCTAAGAGCGCTGGTTTAGAAACACGGATAATATATATATATCTGGTTATTTAGTTTATTTTACTGTTTCCTTTCTTATTATTACATTTTTTTATTATTGTTGCCATATTGGAAAGGAAGAAACTTTTATCGTATTTCGTCAATGCATAGAAGTATGGTCATGTTCACTTCTTCCAACCGGCAGTAAATAAAGGCAACAGTACTATAACGCTGTTCGAAACTCATAAATCAATAGAGATAAAAACAAATCCGGGTTACAAACTAAAACTGAGGGAAACGCATCAAATATAAGAGGAGAACAATGACACAACAAAAACACAACATTAAAATATAGCACACACAGAAACGAACTATAATATAACAATGGCCATTTTCCTGACTTGGTACAGGGCATTTTAAGAAAAAAATGGTGGGTTGAACCTGGTTTTGTGGCATGCCAAACCTCCCGCTTTAATGGCAACGTCAAACACAACACCAAAATGACAACATCACATGACAGGACCACAATACAAATAAATGGGAGAACATATAGGACAAAGAAACACACGAAAAATAGCTAACAAAAGGTACTAGGCTTAAAATTCAATACGCCAGACGTGCGTCTCGTCCACACAAGACCATCCAGTGACGCTCAGATGAAAAAATATTGAAAGCCAAAACAAGTACAAAGCTAAAGAGCACCGAGGACCAAAACTTCCAAAAAGTTGCGCCTAACACGGCCAGGGTTTTCTGCCTGGGACAAGAACATCCTTATTATTTAGAATAATTTATAATTTGCAAACAGTAAATTTTATAAAATGACTATATAATAGATATACATGATAAAACCGGAGTGGCACTAACTACAGAATAAAAACGGATACATTACATAAAACAACTTAATCCAACATATAAAAATACACAGCCGAGTTAGCCAAAGCATCAACGCACAAAGTGACGTCACATTTGAAATTCTAAAAATACACACAAAATGACGTCACTTTTGAATTTGTAAAAATATTTCCCAAAAATAAGATAGGATTCGGATTGATTCAAGATTAGATTTGTAATACTGACATTACATTTATTAATAACAATGAAAATTACAATACTTATTAATATCAAATTGTGGTAGTAATTAGATAATTAATTGTATTATCTAGCTATGTCGGTGTTTCTTCTGAATCAAACTGTAAACCAAATATATCGTATAAATTTCGTGGAACCAAACTAAAATCTAATAAATGAAGGGGGTGATTAATTATCTTTACCATAACACACGAATATAACAGAAAAGACGTTAAGACATTTGACAAAATCCGACGAGAATAACAAATATAACATCAAAATTAAATACATGAATTTGGGATAGAAAAGTACCGTGACACGTCTTATAGCAATGCGGTTTCACACTCAGCAAAACAGTCCAATCGGGAATAAGTCACGTTCGGTAATTAAAAGATCAGACCACGTAATGACAAACCACAATCTAACACGTGGTAAAGATGTCCTTAGTTAGTTTGAACAAAGACACATCGTATGGACTAACCAATTCGTGATGGTGTCCGTAAAATTTACGGAGTGTCATTTTTAATCTGTCCTCCTCATAACTTTGTTGGAGCAGTTTCTGCGTAAGGAGCACACTCCTGTATATGAAGTCGGTATAGTGTGAACAAGCACGAGAATAACGTATCAATTGAGATATGTAATCACCATACGAAGGGGCAGAGGGTATGTTACTGCTGAGAAATGGGAAATTGATAATTGGGAAGTTGAAATCGTCCCGTTTATCATAGATTTTCGTGTGAAGTCGTCCATCTGTGTCCATATTGAGGAAACGATCAAGGTATGAAGCAGTCATTCTAGTATCAGTAGTATCCTTAATTTCAAGTTCACTGGGATATATGAGATGTAAGTATTGGCTGAAATATGGGTTATTCAATGATAGAACATCATCAATATATCGGAAAGTAAAATTAAAGAATTTCGCAAGGTGCTTTTTCTTTTTGTTTTTTAGAAGGTTCTGAATGAATTCTGCTTCATACGAGTACAAAAACAAATCGGCCAGTAGGGGTGCACAATTAGTTCCCATTGGAATACCGACTGTCTGTTGAAATATATATCCTCCAAACTCAACAAATATATTGTGGATCAAAAATTCCAGCTGATGCCTAAGAACATCAATTTTGCTTCGCGAAATGTTGAATATGCAACACCGTCTTGCCACGCTATCTGCTCGTTAAAGAACCCCCATGCAACTACCCTTGAGGAGTTCGTAGATAGCAACCATTCTCCTCTATTCAATATATTCTCATTGTCAGTTGTCAGAATAAATTGTTTTGCCTTACACTCCAGAACCTACCTATTATATTACATTAATTGTATTTTCTTTTCCTTTTGGGATATGCAAACATCCTTTTGCCCCTCTTCTACATTAAGAAATAATTTGAAGATAGCGGATAGGTGAAATTTCAGCAATTTTATACCATTTTGCTTAGTAGTTAAGGTTGTTGACTACTTGGTTTCAAATAGCAAGTTTTTCGAGACTGCTATTGATTGATAGCATAGAAATAACATAACTAAAAAATGTAGAAAATAAGGAGTGTTCGTGTCTTTGTTATAAGATCAAAGCCTTCGACAATTTAGCAGGATCTCTTTTTTTTGTCTTTTACATTTGGTACTTTTGTTCGTTCAAAAACTATAAAAAATCAAATATTTTCAAAAAGGGCCTATGTGATTGAATTATGAAAATAAAAAAAATACTAGTTGTGGAAGAGCAAAGACTGTTTGTAACAATTATCAATTTATTCAGATATTTATACTAATGTTATTCATAGTTATTTTACTGAATATTCTCCCTGAATATATATGTTGTAAATTCAACAAGGATACTTGATGGAATTCTGTACACCAAGTTGTATTGTTAATTTGCAAAATGTGCAATAAAGAATCAATTTGAGTGTTAAAAAAGTAAAATTAAAGTATGGGTTAGCAGGTATAATATGTAATGTCTTTGTATTGATGAAACCGAAGAATTCAGAATATCTGACAAAAAAGTCAAAAACAAAATCAGTGAACAGTCTTACATGTGAAATAATCTCAATGGAACATTGATGGATATTATGCAAAAATTTCAGATATACCATCTGGACTTCCTGGAGTTGATAACGATTTAACGACCAATTATTGCAAAATATATTATGACTAGTTCTCAATGTTTGACATTTCAGACTTCTTTTGTAAAGTAACTGGAAAACACAAGTCTTGACCATATTGTGTGTCATGAAGATTCGATAATAGTCATTATGTTAAGAAAAGTATGACGATCCATAAAACGTAAAGACAATCTTATCCGTCACAGTTTTTTTACAGTTACAACCTTTTTAGTGTTGGTGATTTAACTGCATAATCTTTTTTCATGTCAGAGTTGATCTTTTGATGTCAACTGACTCATCTACTATCAGATTCATTTTTTATTTTCAATTCTGATTGACATACAGCTTTTGATTACTAACAATATTCATTGGTATTTGTAAAATGTAAACATTATAAAAATAAAAAGATTACAGCTAAATATATAATGCCAGTATTCGAGTATCAAATTTTGTATTTAAGTTCTAGCATTAAATTTAACGGACTTGCTGTTTATAAATGAAGAAGGAAATGCAAATCTAAGTATATTGTACATATATGTTATTATTTTTCATTTGCGTCAGTTGTATATTGACTTCTGTATCCTTATTTTTTTTATCACAACAGATGCAGTATATTGCACCTAATATATATTATCTTACCTCCTATACGTTTCTAGGAATATGATTGGTTAAAAGCGTCCGCGTGGAGACCGTGTTTATTCCATTTTAGGTTAGAAGGGAGGCGGGGCTTATTTCAATACACGGTTAGTAGTGGAGTTACGACTTTTGCACTATTTGAGTATTTAAATGTATTGAAAGTTCTGTTTAATATTGTTACACCAAGGTTGTTCATATTAAATTGTAATCGCTGAAATTATTTTCTTTTGTGCAGACCAATGGACGAAGTTCTTAAAATTGAACACTTGAACACTTTAACATAAAAATAAGAAGACGTGGTATGATTGCAAATGAGACAACTCTTGTCTAAATTCAACAAATAAAGATAGTCGGTAAGATAAATTCGTTACATAGTGTGCTAGTGACCTAATACGATATATACGGGGTCAGTAAAATCCATATGGGGTTCGAGCTTCGCTCTCAGCCCATATTGAATTTACTGACTCCGTATATATCGTATTAGGTCACTAACACACTATGTAACTAATAATATTATGATATCCGATAGATGAATTAATTCCTTGTCATTATTTGAACATAAGTGACAATAAATGCATTAACTTTATAAAGTTCGCAGGCCTACTGGTCTGTTTTTTGTGTACAGTGGTGTTTTGCTCAATATTTTTTCCGTTTTCCATTTCATTTACGTGGTCAGGATACGGATTATGTTTTAATGGCTTAAGGAGGACAGATTAAAAATGACACTCTGTAAATTTTACGGACACCATCACGAATTGGTTAGTCTATACGATGTGTCTTTGTCCAAACTAACTAAGGACATTTTTACCAAGTGTTAGATTGTGGTTTTTCATTACGTCGTCTGATCTTTTAATTACCGAACGTGACTTATTCCCGATTGTGACTGTTTTGCTGAGTGTGAAACCGCATTGCTATAAGACGTGTCACGGTACTTTTCTATCTCAAATTCATGTATTTAATTTTGATGTTATATTTGTTATTCTCGTCGGATTTGGCAAATGTCTTAACGTCTTTTCTGTTATATTCGTGTGTTATGGTAAAGATAATTAATCACCCCCTTCATTTATTAGATTTTAGTTTGGTTCAACGAAATTTATACGATATATTTGGTTTACAGTTTGATTCAGAAGAAACACCGACATAGCTAGATAATACAATTAATTATCTAATTACTACCACAATTTGATATTAATAAGTATTGTAATTTTCATTGTTATTAATAAATGTAATGTCAGTATTACAAATCTAATCTTGAATCAATCCGAATCCTATCTTATTTTTGGGAAATATTTTTACAAATTCAAAAGTGACGTCATTTTGTGTGTATTTTTAGAATTTCAAATGTGACGTCACTTTGTGCGTTGATGCTTTGGCTAACTCGGCTGTGTATTTTTATATGTTGGATTAAGTTGTTTTATGTAATGTATCCGTTTTTATTCTGTAGTTAGTGCCACTCCGGTTTTATCATGTATATCTATTATATAGTCATTTTATAAAATTTACTGTTTGCAAATTATAAATTATTCTAAATAATAAGGATGTTCTTGTCCCAGGCAGAAAACCCTGGCCGTGTTAGGCGCAACTTTTTGGAAGTTTTGGTCCTCGGTGCTCTTCGGCTTTGTACTTGTTTTGGCTTTCAAGCTTTTTGTCATCTGAGCGTCACTGGATGGTCTTGTGTGGACGAGACGCACGTCTGGCGTATTGAGTTTTAAGCCTAGTACCTTTTGTTAGCTATTATTCGTGTGTTTCTTTGTCCTATATGTTCTCCCATTTATTTGTATTGTGGTCCTGTCATGTGATGTTGTCGTTTTGGTGTTGTGTTTGACGTTGCCATTAAAGCGGGAGGTTTGGCATGCCACAAAACCAGGTTCAACCCACCATTTTTTTCTTAAAATGTCCTGTACCAAGTCAGGAAAATGGCCTTTGTTATATTATAGTTCGTTTCTATGTGTTACATTTTAATGTTGTGTTTTTGTTGTGTCGTTGTTCTCCTCTTATATTTGATGCGTTTCCCTCAGTTTTAGTTTGTAACCCGGATTTGTTTTTATCTCTATCGATTTATGAGTTTCGAACAGCGGTATACTTCTGTTGCCTTTATTTAACTTTATTTTCAACTAATATCTTACAAATTGAAATAAGAAGCTGGGGTATGATTGCAAATAAGACAACTCTAGTCTAAATTCAACAAATAAAGATAGTCGGTAAGATAAATTCGTTACTTAGTGTGCTAGTGACCTAATACGATATATACGGGGTCAGTAAATTCCATATGGGGTTCGTGCTTCGCTCTCAGCCCATATTGAATTTACTGACTCCGTGTATATCGTATTAGGTCACTAACACACTATGTAACTAATAATATTATTGATATCCGATAGATGAATTAATTCCTTGTCATTATTTGAACATAAGTGACAATAAATGCATTAACTTTATGAAGTTCGCAGGCCTACTGGTCTGTTTTTTGTGTACAGTGGTATGTTTTGCTCAATATTTTTTCCGTTTTCCATTTCATTTACGTGGTCAGGAAACGGATTATGTTTTCATGGCTTAACTTTATTTTCAACTAATATCTTACAAATTGAAATAAGAAGCTGTGGTGTGAGTGCCAATGAAACAACTATCTATCACAAGTCACAATGTTTATAAAGTAAACAATTATAGGTCAAAGTACGACCTTCAACACGGAGTCTTGACTCACACCGAACAAGCTGTAAAGGGTCCAAAAATGACTAGTGTAAAACAATGCAAACAGAAAAACAAACGGTCTAATCTATATAAAAAACGAGAAAAGAGAAAAATACCAACACACGACAACCACTGAAGAACAGGTTCCTGACTTAGGATAGGTGCAAACAAATGCAGTGGGTTTAAACGTTTTAACACGCGCCAATTGTATATCATAATGAAATATTTGTTCGATTGAATATCAGTTTGCTTTTTTAAAACCTTATATAGATCAAAGACAGATCAAAGACACAACTGGTATGTGTTTTAGGTGTATTTTGCTAAAGGGTTATATTTTCACTTTTATGTTATATTCCGTCTATATCATTTAATGCATTATGTGATTTCTGCACTTGCTTTATCTCGTCCTCTTCCCTGACATTGGATTCTCTATACTTGTATTTTTTCATTGCGTAGGTTGTCCTTCTTTATTCAAAATGTATATGATGTATATGTGTATTCTTTTCCAGATGAATCTTTTCGTCCTCTATTGCCGCTTTTGAGTCCGTCGTTCAAGAAATTTACATTTTACTATTCTCATATAACATGTATAAAACGAACTGGAAAATGAATCATAATTGACAGGAATAATACATGTGGAATGATCTTGATACCCTATGGAAAGACTTGTTCATTTCCTTCTCTTAATCACCTCTTTTGTTGCTTTGTTCAAATTTAATCAAATATGGTCAAATTGGTAGGACTGTTGCATGAAATAATAATCCGCCTTTGGTTCTTATCGAATTGAAAAAAATGGCATGAAGTGACAATTTTGGATTCTGTTTGGTCATTTTGAAAATTGTAAATATGACCCTGTAGATCAGGTGAGATATAAAACTTTCAATAGTTGTCTTTAGCGGATATGGTGGTTTTGTAGAACACTCGAATTTGCATCTATTTCATTTATCTAATCACTTGATTACTAGCGAGTATGTAGTACTGGGGCATCACTGGCGAGTGTCCGAATAATCGACAACTCATTGTACATTATCATCAATATTTTTACAAAGATAATTAAAGTGTTGTTTAAGATATTTTACATAATTTTAGGGCAAAAATATTATTATCATAAACTATATCAAAATCAATTTATTGCCAATTATTAGCATGTAGAGATCTTTCTTACATTACTGTGACATCAGTTTTTAGTCTAGGAAATAAATGAAGACTGAACACTAGGTCTTGCGGAAATATAAATTTAGATTGATTAATATTGATATCAGGTACTCTGGAAGGATTCGGATATCCATAAACGTATGCTCAAACCTTTTTATTTTCCAAGTCATCGATAATGCGTAAAATCCATCATTGTCTTTATAGGTAGTACACCTAGACGTGTTTTTGGAAAATATACAAATCTGATGGCCTGTTTTTTTAATATTTATGTAAACGTGCTTCCAAAGGTATGCACTGTTTTGTTCTTACAGGAATTCTTTTGAAATGTTAAATGCAAAATTTTATCTGAATAAAAACGTTCTTAGATTGTTAAGTTGTTTAAATGAATATAAAATAACATAAGTGTATTCTAACAACTCGTATATACGTTTTATAAGTTATGCATTAAAGTTTAAAGTGCTAAACAACACTTCATTTAACGTGAAAAGAATATGAATGAATAATGTTTGTAGAAAATGAAACAAAGTAACAATCAAATAAACAGGGTATTCTTGATTCAACTGGTGGTGAAAATATTTTAAATGCAGGAGGCTTACAACTTTTAAAACTTATAAAAAGTCAAAACCAACATACAAAAATGGATTCTGATTGGTCTTTTACGAATATTTTCTCTCCTTAAACAACATGCCGTCGAACGAAATGTTTTGAATCGTGGAAGATGGTTAAAACACTGTCATTTAAAGCTGAATCTGTAAAAAGTTAACTTTTGTTAAATTTGAAAATATAATGCACATAATTATATCACGGTTTTCTTGGATCCTTGAGATCAAAAGATTTTGAAAACAATCGATGCCATATTATGTCTAGGTCATAATTATTGAGATTTAAGATTTGTTTGTGCTCTTTAAAAAAAATTATTATAAAACACGCTTCACTAGTTATTAACAATAAAGATACGATATGATTACTATTGTAAGAACACTTTGACTTTGCACAAACGTAGAAAAAAAATAGAACAACACTTAATAAATGTTATGCGTCCAAAGCGCTTTGCTGGATTTACCTTCATCAGGAAATCTGAAAGCCGAATCTTTAAAAGCCAATCATGTACAAGAACCGAAAGAAATGAAGAGCTATATGACCACAAAATGTCTAAAAATAATAACCAATTCCATAAATTTCCTAAGGAAGTTGAAGTCTTTATTTACAATTTCTAAATGTAGCAACGGACAATTCTAAAAATGTTTGTTATTATCATGTTTGTAACGAAGAACTAACTACTGAGATTACGATACCCTCAGGAATTGATAGTCCTCCAGCACCGATATCAATCAAGTGATTTAAAAAAATGATAAAACACTTTTTAAATTCCATGTGTCCAAAGCGCATTTCTATAGACGATGTCGTACACTCACAACAGTCGTTAAAACTACTGTCGGTATAGTGTAGGTAGTTTCCGTTTTCCTTTTTGTATTTGTGTCAGTTGCGTATTGTCCTCTATATTCTTAATTTTGATTTTTATCGCAATTGATGCAGTATATTGTCCATAATATATAAATAACAGACTTCCTCCTTGTAATTATTTGGGAAAAATGGCCAACTGACGTGTGCATTCTTTTTTTTTAATTTGAGGTCCTACCAGTTCGCCTTCTTTATGGATTTATATTTCTTACCCATTTGTATTGCAATTTCGATTTTTATCTTTATCCTTAATTGTATGTATTATGAAGATGAAAACGGTTTAATTTGCATTTAATGAACACTAGATTTCAGCAACATTGTTTAAAGACCACCAGGAAGAACATCCAAGCTTTTTGTGATATTGTTTGAACATCGTTGTTGAAATAAATACATCTCGAGAAAAGAATTCTCATTTTTATTTCAAATACTGAAAACTCATAACAAAGCTCGCATATTAAAATCAGAAACTAAAATGTCTCCCCTGCAGAATCATGGTGTCTTATGTGATCTGAATCTTTTTCGATAGATAACATTAATTTACAATAAGCATTTTTTCTTGAAAATTGAGGAATGTTAATAACTTTAACTATCTGGGAGCATAAAAAGCAAAACATATAACACCAGTTCAACATAAACCATATATGACCATCCCTAAGTTTTAATAAAAGTACATAGTTATAAAATACACATTTTTAATATAAAAATAGCATTCTAGGTATACTAGTTCTGACTAGTAGACACAGCGCATATGGTACAATAGGGGACTAACTAGCATCGGTCTGGATATTAGATGATTGATTGATTGTTGGTTGCTTAACGTCCAGTGGCAAATATTTCATGCATATTCAGGACGAGAACAAATTAACAATAAATACAATAGGTAGGTTCTGTAATATAGGCGTCTGGGATTGAGGTCGGAGAAATTTAGACTGCCACGGGAAATGAGGGTATATTGGATAGGGACAGACATTTAGCCTTGCAACAGGTCACCTACGGACCCCTCAAAGAGTTGTTGCAAAGGTTCTTAACGTGCAAAGAGCGTGGCACTCTCTTTACACGAGGCATCGGATTTAACGTCCCCATTCTGACCGGACGTGGCTGCAAATTTGTACATCCCGCACAGCCAAACGGACGCCCCACTTTAGCACGGGTTTTACTGCCGGTCGGAGGAAGACCAATGGTGACCATACTTCTATTCCCCAGTCACCCTTGGGGGGCTGGATATTAGACTTTTGACAATAACATAAATAAGTTACTTTACATAAATGTACGTCAATTATTATATATCCGGAAAAAAGTTTTTAATTTATAAAATACGATGAGCTTTTCTGTATCCAGGTGACTTATAAATGGATTTGAATCCATAGTACTTTTTCTTTTTTTCGGGTAAATCGGAGTTTTTTAATTGCTCTCTTTCGTAAACGAATCTCTTCACAGGTTCATGTCTTTCCATATAGTCGTTCATTTTATTCCATCCGCCACCAACTGTGACTATATAATCGTCAATTTTTTTTCTGAAATAATGACAATGAATCGTTATGGCGGGAATAATAAAAGCGATAGTTTAAAGTGTTTTCAATTAAACAAAAATATTTTTTTTGACACTTTGCTTCGCATTTTGAGATTGATTTATAGATCGTCTGTGTAAATAAAATTGAGAATGTAAATGGGGAATATGCCAAAGAGACAACAACCCGGTCAATGAGCAGATAACAACCGAAGGCCACCAATAGGTCTTTAACGCAGCGAGAAAATCCCGCGACCGGAGGTGGTCCTCAGCTGGCCCATAAATAAAAATGTGTACTAGTAAAATATACAGAGACAAAGTAAGCTTTAAAAATCATTTTTCAATCAAGTAGGAGTTTTTAGTGTTTCATATTTACCATACGGTTTTAGTCTTTGTATTACATGACATAAGCCATATACATTCTGATATGTAAAGCGAAAAAAAAAAAACTTTTTAGTTTCAGCTATACCCATTATGTCAGGGTAGATTGGATAGATGAGATGTAAGGACTATCTGAATCATAGCTTTATTTTTTGTTGCATTTAGGGTCTTTTATTACTCACTGCACTGTCAAGGGTTTGCTCATTGCTGAATGTCGTACATTGAGCTATATTCGGGTAAGTATTTGTCATATTGAAAATAATATCACATCTTATTTTTATAAAGATAATGAGGTACAAGAGGTCATAATCAATATATCTTAATGTGAACTTGACACTGGTCAAATGCTTTTACTTTTTGTCTTTGAGAAAGGTTTGTATTACTGATCGTCAAAAGTAAGAAAGATATTTAACCGATTAAATGACACAGACAAAAGGAGTACGGAAGTAGCAATACACGACCGAGAGAATAAAATATTACGACTAACATACAATACTTTAGAAAAAAGTAGGCGGTGGATACAAAGAGTACAAAAAAATAACAATGATTCGGAAAAAAGTAAATAATAATATAGCCGAAAAGACTATCAACTGCGAAAAAAATAGTACCTTTCAGAAAATAAGGTACGTTTTTGTGTAGTTTTTCAGACAATTCATTATGTTAACATTGACTGAAAGACTAAGATTGTCTTATTTACTAATTGTTCAGTCTTTTAAGATCTATTCAGAACAAATTGATGACCGTTTCAGATCAAATTGTTTAACTAGTGATAACATGCTGGCCTGATCTACAAAACGGTAGACTAAGAACTACGACTAAGCAACACGAACCCAAAGGGAAATCGCGGGTATTCTCAGGTGCTCCGGAAGGGTAAACAGATCGTGCTCAACTAGCACTGTTCATGGCAAGCACACATTAGGTGGTGAGTTTGATTTGCTGATGCCAAAATCGAGGAAATATGATGAGATTTTTGCTTCATGTACGTCAGTTGGAATATATCGGTGATCATCTGTGAGACATGTATTCCATAAAGGATAGTATTGCTTTCTTTTCATTCTTATTTAGAAATTATTTTAGTCGTTGTTTCGTGATTCTATTTGAATGCTGTTTTTTTTTATCTTATTATAATTTGTAGTTTTGGGATTTGTCTCACATCTTTTTAGATTTCTTACCTTTTTTACCTTCTGTTTAGGTAGGATAGGAGGATCAATCTCAAATGGTTTTGGCTCAAATATTTCTGTAGGTGGTCTCAAATCTATACAATAAACTAACTGGCCCTACAAATTAAATTGTTTTAAAGATGGAAGTTAAGAAATAAAGTTGTACACTCAGCATAGACTTTGTGAACATCTATTTCTTTGAAACATGATAGTACATGATAGTACCACAATTTGACAATATTGCACGCTAATCTTTTCAAGTATTAAGCTATCGATTTATATAGCAAAGAATGTGTTTTATATATATATATATATAAAAGCAGACAGTTTCGTTGGGGTTTACATTTTGTTTATTTCGAGGATAAATTATATCCCCGAAATTAAACCCCATTGAATTGTAACCTTCATAGAATAATACATTCGCAAACTGGAAACCATGAAAACAAATTCCTATGAAATAGAGTTTAGAGACAAAACCACGAAATGTAACGCTAAGAAAGTTAATGTTTCTTTTATATATCATCCATATCCATTGCTTTGTAAATCATATCAATAAATGTTTAAGTTTCTATTTTTAAAGTGCCATGAAAGAATACTCGGTTGTTCACACCAATGTGTATTGTTTTGTATGAAGCTAATTTTTTGTATGTTTCATCGGGTAATTTTTTGCTAAGTAAACAATGCCATAAAGTTATAAGTATTATAAAGACAGGAAATCTACAAGATACTAACATTTTGCTACCGTTTGAAAAATTTCTATACTAAAAGATTAGAAAAAAGGAAGAGTAATTTACTGACAGTGTACTCGTATGATTAGTCCTGAAATGACTTATGTACTTTACCCATCTATATAACGTTCACCCAGAGATGTACAAAATTGGTAAAGATTTCATTGTTTCTTAGGTTAGTTTTATATCAGTAACAACAGCTACAGAATAAAACTACTACAACATGGTCCTGCAACATATGACTTTGGGTGATTAAATATGTATTGACTTGTCCTGTTTGTTTTTTTAATTTTCCCATTTTCTAAAACGATTCAGTTTTCACTTTTCAAAACTCCAGGATCATTTGTTCAACTTTTTGTTAGTGCTAACGAGTCGTTTAATTTCTTAATCATTTGCATAAACATATTTATATGATTAGTGTGATGTTCAACTTGTCATTAATGTTAGCACTGTGTTAGAAATGAAAAAGCTGTCATTAAATCTAATCCACCTCGTGAAGGTGTATTTGATATTAGTCATGCGATAAAAATATACAATAAGGCTGCTGTGTCAATGTTTGCTCGAAAAGTGAGACCTTTTAAAGGTATTTATCCCCTAGAAAGGGATTTTTAGTAATGAATAGCTATGAAAGCGCCTTTAATTTGAAAGAAACACAATAAATGTGTTATGAGTTGAGTTAAAATATAAATTGGAAAGGGATTAGTCAAGAAAAGGCGAATGATTGGACGAATACATGTAATGGTAATCTGATAACAGAAAAAATTGCACATTTCGGCTGGTTTTATTTTGTGTTTATGTCCCTGTTTTCCGAGCACTGTTGATTGTACAGAAGGGTCCATTATTGTGTAGATTCATTCAATAAATTATGACGAACCAGCTTTTGTAAATAATAAATGTTACCATAGCATTATGCACAGTGATTTCCAAAGCAAGTCTTTGTACATCCAACATTCATGTATTTATTTGTGATGTGTTTCTGTTATGGTTTCGGTTGGATAATCTGTTATGTATTATCGTTTGTAGTCCAAATAATTATAAAATTGCCTTTCTATGACATCATTGTCATGACAATTGTTTGGACGAGTATTGTGAAAATAATTGTATAAAGTTTGAGATTGCATGTTAATTACGTAAGCGCGTCACAGTGCGGTTTGCATGTTGTGTCGACTATTATGTTATGTGTTTGTTCATTTCTCTGTGATGAATGTTCTTGCGTGTGTTTGTGCTGTATTTCTGACACGTAGTGTTGTCGTTTCAGCGATATTATTTAACATTGTCATAAAGCGGGAGGTTTGGCTAGCCATTAAACCAGGTTCAACCCACCATTTTGTTTCTTGAAATGTCCTGTACCAAGTCAGGAATATGGCAGTTGTTATCAAATAGTTCGTTTAGTATGTTGGCGTTTGTTTTTGTTGCACTTCAGTGTTCCTGTTGTTCCTTTGTTTTCCTCTTAAAGTTGATGTGTTTCCCTCGGTTTTAGTTTGTAACCCGGATTTGTTTTCTCTCACTCGATTTATGACTTTTGAACACCGGTATACTACTGTTGCCTTTATTTGCTAATTTCCCCGTTTTTCTAAATTCAAATATTAGCACATTTAGTAGCGCCATTGACCTTACAGCTCACAAAGGTAAATTTTAGAGCTCAGATCATAGGATATTATTATTTTTGAGTAGTTATATTTCATCATATATATTTATTTCCATTTAGTATACACTATGAGTATGAGCTCGACGAGGAACCACATTTCTATAATGAAAATATACTACAGGGCCTTTTATAGCTGACTATGCGGTATGGACTTTGCTCATTGTTGAAGGCCGGAAGTTGACCTATAGTTGTTAATTTCTGTGTCATTTGGTCTCTTGTGAATAGTTGTCTCATTGGCAATCATACCACATCTTCTTTTTTATAAATACAGTAAAAAGTTAAATCACAAAAATACTGAACTCCAAGGAAAATTCAAAAAGCAAAGTCCATGATTAAATGGCAAATTCAAAAGCTCAAACACATCAAACGAATGGTTAACAACTGTCATATTCCTGACTTAGTACAGGCATTTTCTTATGTAGAAAATGGTGGATTGAACCTGGTTTAATTGCTAGCTACACCTCTCACTTGTATGACAGTCGCATCAAATTCCATTATATTGACAACGATGCGTGAACAAAACAAACAGACACAAAAGGTAAAAATGTCAAAAAAGGGGTACAGCAGTCAACATTGTGTTATCATTTTAATCACTATAAAACAAACAAATGTAACAAAGAAGCACAAAAAGACATCAAATGTAACATCCTCATTTTGCTTTTTTATTATACGATTTTATTTATCTATGCAAAATCCACCCATAAAGGATGGAAGATTTTAAGTACTGGCATATAATCGCGCGTTTGACGTCACACAGGTAGATATAAAATAATTTTGTCGTTCAAAGTATGACGAGATACATAAGTACAGAGTCAAGTCAAATGGATATCACCAAAAACAGACTTAATAGTAAAAGTAATATTAATAAAATAATATAATTCTGTCGTTCAAAGTATGAATGGATACATAAGTACAGAGTCACGTCAAATGGATATCACAAAAAACAGACTTAACAAATGGATATCACAAAAAACAGACTTAACAAATGGATATCACAAACAACAGACTTAACAGTAAAAGTAATATAAGTAAAGACAAATAAAAGAATACTATAACACGTTATTAAGATGATAAACAACGTCAGTACACAGAATCTATACTTCAAGACCATCGTGTATTATTTGTGAAGTTGATACGGAATATTTATCAACAAGGTCTTGGTACCTTCCGATGAACCTTTTTTAGAAAAAGGACGAGACGTTCATTGACATACCCCTGGTTCATCAACTTTCTGCTCAGACACTGGTGACGTTTTATAAAGTCGAGTAGGAGCTGCAAGCTCTTGAATACCGTATAAGTTGGGAAATGCATATCCAATATGCAGGTGAAGTTGGTATATTGCTATTTAGGTGGGGGAAATTGATAATTTCAAAATTAAAATCGTCTCGTTTGTCATAGATTCTTGTACTGAGATGACTGTGTATGTTAAATTCGGGGTATAAGTCTAAAAATGAGGCGGAGGAAGCCGTGTCTGTTCTTTCTTTAATTTCTAGTTTTGGGGGATATATTAATGGAACCCAATCAGAAAAGTTCGGATTGTTAATGGAACGAACATCATCAATATATCTGAAAGTGAAATTAAATAACCTGGCTTCTTTGATCTTCTTGTTTTTGAAAAGTGTCCGAGGGAACTCATGTTCATATGAAAATAAGAAGAGGTTGGTAAGGAGAGGCGCACAGTTCGTTCCTATAGAAATGCCGACAATTTGTTGAAAAAGTCTACCTCCAAATTCAACAAATATGTTGTCAATAAGAAACTCCAACATACTGATCACTTGTTCCTCTGTGTAGCATGTTTTACCCTTTTGGTCACTATTAACAAAATATGCCTTATGGTATCCCAAAGTAATAAATTTATAGCGTATGATACCATTTTTATGTTGAAAAGCATTGTGGATTATTTCTTTTAGACGGTTTTTCAATTTCACATGGGGAATGGTGGTATACAAGGTTGAAAAATCAAAAGTTTTGAGAGAACTAATTTCAGAAAAAGACCGAGATTTGAAATTATCGAGAAGGTCTTTAGAGTTTTTAAGAATCCACATATGGTTAATACCACTACGCGAGTAAACAGTTTTACAGTATTTCTGAAGACCCTCTTTCACTGCGGACAGAGTTTTAGTCAATCTAATGGACAATTCTTTAGTGGAACATGCAGATGAGCCGGCAATGTACCATTGTTTGTACGGAATTTTGTGAAGTTTAGGTATCCAATACAAACATGTGTTTTATGTCAGTGATTAAGTATATAACCAATAAAAAGTCTGATTATCATGTCTCTCAGCTGACACGATATACAAAAACACTTGGGAAACCTCATTTCAGAGTGTCAGGAATTTTTCAAAGAAGTCTTATACCCCGTGGGATGAGAGGTAGGTGTCCTATTACTAGTACCCTTCAGAAAGCCAAACACTTCCCAATAACTCATATCATCAATATATGTTTGAATTTTTAACACTGAAAACTGCTTCCTCGGTAAAGCGCTCAAGGTCCGATTAAGAAATGATAAAATAAAAATGGCATCAAATTTGACAAAAAAAAGAGCTTGGAGAAACTATATGTTAGTAGGTGATCGTTACATTTGAGATAAAGATAAATAGCCATTATATTAAACGTCTTCTTTTTTATTTCCTTTGACATCGTTATCTAACAGTGTAATTTTTATAAAAGAAAAAAACAACCATGCTAAAACCTTTGAAATCATTTCTTTTTCATGGTGTTTTATTGGTTTTATCTTTATT